GAACTACAATCAGGCAATCGGTTATTTTGTTGGTTCGTAAATCGTTAGAAGACTCACCTATACAATCATTGTATCCAAATGTAATCGTCCGTTTTTCGTTTATTTATCTCCTCGTCGACGATTTCGCTTTCGCAATTTCTAAAAACATATGCATACGTATGGCAATACGTATATGTGCATATACATACTTGTTCGCACACGCGCGTATGCATGTATGTATGCGCGCGTATAGGTATGTGCCGAAATACGTAAATTGCACTAGGCATATATATATATACATGTATATATATTTAATGAAAGAATATTTGACATTTTTCTTGTCGAAAAGATTTTGACATGTGCACATTGTGACGGCGGATGGTTGGTATTGGTATTCCGTCCGCACCCGCGCGGTACGCTGTCCGTTGTTAATGTACCAAAGAAACAACGTTGCTTCATACTGACGACTTAACACGAGCAAACGAGAAAAATAAATAAACGAAGAAATAGATGGAATAGAAGGAAGATAAGAAACGAATCAAGAGAAACATGTTAAATTTAATTAATCCCCAAAGTAAAAAATTGTTAATTATTTTTGTAAAAAAAAAAAAAAAAAAAAAAGAGAAAAAAATGAAAAGATATGAAAGGATGATGAAGAAGAGAACAGCGAAGGTGACGAAGAAATTTAATACACGAAGCGATAAAAATATGTACATGTATGTATTAACTCTAGCGTGCTCTGCCTAAGGAAGCTTACAAATATGTTGAATATTATTATTATTATTATTATTATTATTATTATTATATTATATTATATTATTACTATATCACATTCTCATCATCACCATCATTATCATTATCATCGTCATCATCATCATTATTGAGAAGAAACAGACACCTGTACTCTTGTTTCCCCCAAACTGTTTAATAGCATAAATATTGAAATATGAAAAATCTTTGTTTTTTACTTCACCTTATTTATTTACAATACACTATCATAATATGTACATTAAAAAATTTATCAAGTCTTTGTAATAATAATTGTATAAAACATAATTAGTCTTGTTGGGGTCGTGGAAAGTTACTTTGTACAAATTGCCACCACCATTTGGTATCTTGACATAGGAAAAATGACTTTAATTTATCATTCGTAGATGGGCGGATGCTTTTATTGAACTGCCACTTTAACACAGATCGAGCTACCTGTTTGTATTTAAATTTACTAATACTTATTAGACAAGACACGACACCCTCTTGTAAATCATCTGGTCCTAGGGTGTAAAAATTATGATTACGACGTTTGTAGAAAGAAAGAAAGAAAGAAAGAAAATAAAAATGGGTCATGCCTGCATTGCTATCGAGGACATCGCAAAGCTGATTAATAATATTATAAATTTCACTGTAAGTTGTCTCAATTCGAATGGGGCGCAGTATATTACCTATAAAATAATAATAACAATAAGAGCTTATAGTTAACATTAAAATAGGCAGGTTGATAATTTTCAAAATCTAACCGAGTAATGTTAAAACTTCGTATAACGAAGGATGACTTTGAGTTACAATTATCTGTTTTAATTCTTTAATAATATTTTCTATGGCCCACGAAGGTCCCATACTTTTGCATAGTAAAAGCATTGCGGTATTAACGCCAGGTGTATTTTCTATTTTAAAAACATTGTAATATTAATATAATGAATAAAGTAAGAGTTAGTTTTTTATCGATGATATTAACTATCCATCCTCTTTACCTTTCAAATTTTTCAATAGCTCGTCTTTTATAAGGCTAGGCGTGTATCCAGAATCCGGATAATTATAATATTTGAAGAGCAACGTCTTCAAAGAATAAAGTTTAGGAAAGGGTTTCGTAACTTTTAGGGACATAATTATATGCACTATAGTTTTTACTATAACATCTGAAAAGTAATTATAATAATAATAATAATCCTTGTTATAAGCTGCGACTTATACACTACACAATAAAGTTTTTATAGAAGTTTACCATTGTTAGGATCGTATTTTGGAAGTACTTCGGGCCAACACATAAGGGCAACATAAATAATATTAACGGCTCCCAGCTTTAAGCAGTAAAAAGCGTCGCAAAAAAAAATCCGTACTTTTTCTCT